GAGTAATGACATTTGTTGATACTAATCATTGTTTACAATAGGCTACAAAGTACTTATTGACACCAGCCAAAACATTCCTTGCCATGTCTATTTGAGGTGTTTAGAAGACTTGATATTTTGACCATTAAACCAAGAAGTGCAGTAAACAGTAGACTCTATGCATTTAAAACTGCTGAGCCATCAAAGGTTTGTCTAGAGTAGGATCCTTTCATGTCCATGTTTTCAAATACTCAAATGAAAGAAATGTAATCTTTACATTGGGCTACTATTCAGTTATCTTCTAAGGGTCAGAAGTTGTGATGTTCAAGTTTGGTGAGTCTCTTCTACTAATGCATTAAATTCTATTTAGCTTATTTTCTTGATATTTTCTAACTAAATAAGTAATATAGAAAAAACATTATATTATGGATAATTGTAGACTAGACAATTTCAATGAGCCACTGAAGTTGAGAATCTTTAGGAGAATTAAGAAAAATTATATGAAGGTATAATAAGAAAAGAAGAGGTCTCAAAATTTAAGTAAGCTTGAGCACTCAAATATAATTGATCATCTTGGGTAAAAGACTTAGTTCTATTTAGTTGTCTATGTACTACCTTCATTCTGTCTGAGACTATTTCTTACTCTGTCTTCTGCCATGGTGATCTCAGAATAGATGTAGCTGTGCTGCATAGACCATTAAGGTAGCAAGTAAAACAATAGAACATTCTGTTTTAGCTACTCCCATTGCATTTCTAGCTGTCCTATGGATTCTGTGAGAGTACTAGTTGGTTTGGCAAATATAAATTCGTTATTATCTAAAAGTTTAACTCAAGAAGTCCAAGAATGATTCAGCAATTTTAATTCTCCCATTTTACTGTGTCTCATAGTAATCCAAGCCCTACTTACAGTTCACCCTCAAGCAAATAACCCTCAAACTGTGTAAAACACATATCTACATATCTTATTCACCTACAGTGTAGTTATTTCAGAGGGGAAAAGCACATAGTCCTTGAAGTCATACAGAGATAAACTTGACCCTTTATGACGGGCTGAATTTCAACACAAATCCTTTACCATTTGCCTACAGTGACTTCCTTGATCAAACTTTTCCATTTTTTTCTTGTCTGTCTTAACTGTTTTCTTATTAACAGAAACCAAGACTGCTTTAATCATCACTCTGTGATTTAAATCTTTGGGAGGAGGGGATAAATTCTAAACACAGATAGTAATCACAACTCTTTGCCAACCAAATTGTTACCTTTTCGATGAAAAAATGTTATTATTTACTTTTGGTGTGTACAAAATGAGTCAAGAATTTTTTTATTCCTTTCCTTAAGGGGGAAGAAGAACTCAGTAAAGAATTTGAAATTTCTACAAAGAACCATATGTCTACAATATGTCTACAATACTAAACAAGACAATCAGGGACCCAAATCTTTTAATCTACAGGAAAGGCAGATTAATATGGTTAACAGTCATGCCTGAATATCACTAATACTGTGAATTTTATAAACTGTAGGATATGTGCAGGAAATCATAGAAGAAATTTTACTTCTCTCTCCTGTATTTAAGTCATCAGGGAAGGAAAACAATGGCATCCATATCCTTTTATCAGTAAATATTTTCCATATTTCAGGAAAACTGTAGAACCTCATTTTAAGAGTTTATGCATCCACTGGTAGGCCCATTGACCATTTTGTTAGAAAACATCCATCAAAAAATCTCATAGCATACTGGTCCTTGTAGTTGGGGTATAGGAAATTTATTCTAGCTATTGTTGGATTTTTCCTGGTGCAATGATTTGAGTCTGCTATTCTCATATTTATATAAAAGCATATGGGATAGAAGAATAAAAAAATAGGGGATCGTTGATTTTGATATCCCAACTTTTTCTAGATCTTTTTGTATGTGTTTTTTAAATACTGTGATGTGTGCTTGTGTGTGTGTGTGTGCGCGCGCGTGCATGTACACACACACAAACATACCAGTGCACATGTGGACATAAGTACACAGTCTATAATTCAACCATCTTTCCATCTTTTCATTTTTAAGAATTTTTTTACTTTGTTTTTTAAAAGTTGTTGTATTGGCCCGAATCTCATACATTAGTGCAAAGTGGCTGGAGGGTGTTACCCTGGATCTTCCCGTGGCTATCACACCAAGATTGATGGACTTGTCAGTATACCAGACATCTGTCTACACTTCAGTTCTGGAGATTAAATTCATATCTACATGATAATAGGGAAGCAGGTTATGAACTGATCTATCCCCTTGGCCTGTTGGTGTTCAATGTAAAAAATACTCTGATTGTAGTTATTTTCTGAATTAGACAATTTCAGAGAATGCTTTAGGTCTTTTAATGACTTATTTTGTTCTTTTTGTGACAATTTGTAGGCTAGCAACATTTCATAATATGTGAAATCATTTCCTGAAGGAGAGATTGGCCATGAGACAGGAAATCTGTGGTTTTGTGATAGAGCACTTCCTTATTGGATTCTCAATAGCCTCTCTGTCCTTCCTGAGACTGGGCTTTGTTTTATCTTTGTCTTCTCGTTTGTGGTTTCATTATTTATGTATTCATCTGAGATGAGTTTACTATTATGAAATTTAGGGCATGAGCCCTTTTGTTACAACCATTTTCTCTGAGACTAAACTTTCCATCTTGTTTAGCTTCTTTGGGTCTGTGAAGTGTATCATGGGTATTCCATACTTTATGGCTAATAACTACTTATAAGTGAGTACATACAATGTTTCTCCTTTTGGGCCTAGGTTACCTCACTCAGGACGATATTTCTGAGTTCCATCTATTTGCCTAAAATATTTATGGTTTCCTTGTTTTTAATAGCTGAGTAACATTCCATTGTTCAAATGAAGCATATATTTTGTATCCATTCTTCAGTCGAAGCACATGTCTATTGTTTCCAGTTTCTGGCTATTATAATAAAGCTGCTATAAACATAATAGAGCTTATGTCCTTTGTGATATTTTAGAGCCTCTTTTGGGTATATGCTCAGTAGCAGTATAGCTGGGTCTGCAGGTACAACTATTTCCAATTTTCTGAGAAACTATCTGACTGATTTCCAGAGTGGTTATACACATTTTGTACATATTTGTCTTACCTTCCATACCACCAATGTAGGAGTGTTCCTCTAACTTCAGATCCTCCCCAGTGTGTGCTGCTACTTGAGTTTTTGATGTTTTGATCAGATATTCTTATGAGTGTAAGATGGAATCTTAGTTGTTTTTATTTTCACTTCCCTATGACCACAATGTACTCCCTAGACCCAAAGAAGCCAAAAAAGAAGGAAAACCCAAGTGAGGATGTTTGAATCTCACTTACGAGGGAGAATAAAATAGACATAGAAGAGAGATCAAGGAAGGGAACTGGATGAGATAGTGGATAGGTAAGGGAATTTGAGGGGGTAGTTAAGATTAGCTATAGGGATTGACAGGAGTAAGACCAAAAAGAACCGGGAGAATGAATGAAAATCTACAGCTGTCAGGAGTTGGGGGAGGGGGTTATCTCTAGGACATGCCAGTGACTTGGGATGAGAGAGGCTTCCATGACTCAATGGGGGTGACTTTAGCTGAGACTCATAGACTGGGAATGTGGAACCTGAATAGGGCATCTCCCATAGCTAGAAGGGACTCCCAGGAAAGAAATAAGGACAATAACCCACCCACAAAATCATCAGCCCAAAATTTGTATTGTCTGAAAGATGTACAGGGACAAAGATATAGCAGAAAATGGCCAACAAATGATTGACTGACCTTGAAATCCATTTCATGAGCAAGCCCCAGTCCCTGACAGTATCAATGATACTCTGTTAAGGTTACATACAGAAGCATGTAACTTAACTGTCTTCTGAGAGGCTCCATCTAGTAGCCGACAAAAACAAATGCAGAGACCCATAACCACATACTGGACTGAGCTAGGAGAGTATCATGGAAGAGTCAGGAGGATTGAAGGCCCTGGAGGGTATAGAAACTCCACAGAAAGACCCACAGAGTCAACTGATCTGGACCCTTGGAGGCTCTCAGAGACTGAACCACCAACCCAAGAGCATAGAGAAGTTGGACCTAGGTCCCATGTATATATGTAGTATATGTACAGCCTACTATTCATGCAGGTCTCCCAACAACTGGAGAGAAGGCTATCTCTAAAACTATTGCCTGGATGTGGACCCTATTCCCTTACTGTACTGCCTTGTCTGGCCTCATGGGGAGAAGATTCACCTAGCTCTAAAGAGACTTGATGTGTGTGGTTGTGGGGATATCCAGATCCTCCATCATCAGAATAAAAAAGGGAGGGGGATGGAGGGAGGGACTATGTTGTAGGAAGCTGCTGCTTGTGCTGATGTGCTATGGTAAAGGCACGCCAAAGTCATAACCCATCGCAGGGTGTTTTGGCAGGCAACAAGTAAGCAGCCAATCAGAAGCAACGAGTAAGCAGCCAATCAGAAAGGAACACGCCCCTCTAAGGGTATATAAACAGTGCCTTTTCCAGGCCTG